TAATAAATATGACAACCAGCCTGCTATTGTATTAACTAATTAGGCAGTATGTCATTAAGCATGTTAAATGTGCACAATATTTGTTAGGCAGTATTATCTGATCACTGCACATGTGCAAGCATAAAATTTTAATATTCATGATTTGCACTCACAAAATTTAGCCCCCCATCAAACTTTATGACTACACACACAGCAAAAAAAATTATTTAAAACTACCCTTAGAGGGTTACCTCAGTTCTGGAAGTCTATTGTTTAGTGAAACTGAGTGGGTTGTTTTAACAACATATTTTTTGCAGTACAGTATAATTAGGCAATAATGTTATACCGTATACTGGGATAATTTCGAGTAACCAAATTTTTGCAAATTTTGTGTTTTCTTGTTCCGTCGCGAAAATTAAAATTGTGAAATTCTAAATTTTCATTGCCATGTGGTGCATGGAGTTTACAAGCTATTTGTGAAAATATTATTTCGTGAAATCTTACAAATGCAAAATTTGTGAAATTTAGTGATGCAAAAATATCCCAGTATACAGTAGTGTGTTAGTGAATACAGTTAAGTGCAGTGTTTGCAGTAAATCTTGCAAATTTGCCAAATTTAATTATCATGAATAGACAAGCATGCAGCATAAATTGAATTTTAAATCTCCAAAATGTACAGCCTTCAAAATTTTATGCTCTATAGTCAAGTTTCAATATAAAACTTACATTATCCACAAGATCAGTTCTAGCTCCATTAAATAATAAAATATGAACAGCTTCAATACTACCACTCTCAACAGCTTTAAACAATGGAGTTTCGTTCCACTATAAATAAAACATTAAATGATACAAATAGAATTAAATAACTTTACCCTATTTACAATATTCACATCAGCCTTTCCTTTAGTTATCAATAATTTGATAATATCAGCATTACCAGTTTCACTAGCAAGGTGCAAGGAAGTACGTCCAAACTATATTGATACAATTATTTTTATGATCATATTAATAAAAACAGATACACATGTGCTTAAATGTTGCTGAGTAACATACTAAAGCAAGTGCTAATAATGTGTGTGTAAGTAATGTATTGGGTACGAGTAGTCAAGTATACATGTAGACTACATGGTTGGTGGGGTATTGATTTTTGTCTATTTCACAGTTCATTTATATCTTAACCCCTACCACCCACACATAAAAACTAATTAACGGGCCATGCTACTATTTTCAAGCCAGTGTAGAAGCCAGAATATGTGTCTGTTGTTCCATTTTTCATTAAAAGCTATTATCAGAAGTAATTAAGTGCTATAGATAAAAGAGAAAAGAATTTTACTACAGCCGTGAATATTTACATGTACATGTATATCTACAAATATTAGCTTCTAAGGAAACTTTGGACAAAACAAAATATTGGACATTCAAAAATTACAGTACCAACCATAATAATGGTACATTAACATTATTAATGCATAGTCTTGATGCCAATGATTATTATAGAAAGCTAACATGTTCAATCTTTTTAAAAAGTAGTAAATCCCAATCAAACCCTAGCTGCTGCTCATATTTCAATATACTTACATTGTACATGCATACTGGGCAACTTACAATATCAGAACCAATATTAGGATCAACTCCTTTTTCAAGTAGCACTTCAACAACTCTGATATTATTCTTCTCAATGGCTACAATAAGAGCAGTAGGACCACCAGAATACTATTACAACAAATTAAAAAATACAGAAATACAGCTGCAAACCTTAGTAACATTAGGATCAGCTCCTTTCTCAAGTAACAATTTAACAATATCAGTATTATCTTTTTCAATGGCTATTATAAGAGCAGAAGGACCACCAGAATACTATTACAACAAATTTAAAAAATACAGTACATTCAGCTACAAACCTCAGTAACATTAGGATCAGCTCCAGCTTCAAGTAGACCAATAACCTCCTCAGGTCTAGTATGAGATTCTATAGACCTGATCAATTCCCTGCCCTAAATACATTATGTATGTAATTACATAAAGCTAATATACAATTTATCATCGTACCAGACTGGAACTTTTAACTTCTTTCCCAATTGATGCAGCCTCAGCCCTCTGTTAAAAAAGACAATTCTTGTTGAATATTATTATATTAGATTCACTTGTCTATAAGAATAATATTTTAAGCTAGATATTTAATCATTACACAATAAAGACAGCCAATACATTGCAATCATGGAATCTCCAATATTAAGCACCCCCAAATATTCCTACTATATTGTATGTCTCCTTGCATGACCTATTTTGCTGTGCAATACTCTTATACTAGTACAAACTCAGTATAGACAGAACTAGTAATTAGTTACATTGTAGATGTGTGTATATGCATCATTTGTTGTAACTGTTAATGAGCTATACCTACCAAAGTAGTAGCGCTTGTGGTGGGAATGTTTCCCTCAGATGATGCGATTGAAGAAGCATCAACCCTCTATATAAAAATTACCATTGAAAATTAACTATTGTACTGGCATACTGGTTCTATTTTAGTAGTAGATTTAATCTGTGGGTCTGAAAACATAAACATAAAAAATAATTCTACATAAACCAATAAAAGCTAATATAAAAGTACCTTCTTCCTTGCTCTCAAAATCTTCTGTAAAAAAAATTTAAAAAATAACAATAATTTTATACACTGCATCATCTCACCTTCCTCTTCTTGTGGTAATTCAATTACAGTAATGTCGTTGTCCTTTAGCTCCTTCAATATCACTGGATCCTTGAGATCTCTCATGACATCATCAAGAACACATGGTAGTATAGCATAAGTGATGATAATGCATTTCTTTCTTAATTGTTTAAAAAATGCATAAGATGACCATGAGAATTCACCAAAGGTTGAGACCCAGGTATAAAGTCGAGAATGAAGCCAAGGGGAACCAAGACGAAAAGAGATATAAGGTAAACCAAGAGGAGCAGTAGGAGAGAGATCAGATTGCTTTTCAAAGAAAGGTATTAAATCTTCAAAGGAAGCTGCACTCAATAACCTGGCATATTCCTTTTCATATTCAAAAAAATGCTTGATAATCTCATTATCATCTTTCACCAGTTCAATTAGTTTCTCTAATAGCTTGTAATTGAGGTAACCAATGAAATCATGCTTGCTTAGAAAATCGAAAAGGTTTTTAAAATCATTAACTGTCTCAAGAATATCAATGCAGGTCATCAACTCAGGAGCAACACGAGCTTTTCTCTTTAAGCATTCCTTTATCAAAAATTTTGCATCTTCTATATCAATGCAATTGCTTTCAAGTGATTTTTTTACTGCAAGAGCAAGCGAAACATATTTTCCATGTAATTTGTTAGCAATGCCTTGCAAATTTGCAACTTGGTCAATTCTTTGCTCAAGGTCATCCACACCTACAACAATACATAAGCTAGTTATTTTGCTACTGTCTCTCCTTACCAGGATTAACAATCAATGGCTGTGTTGGATGCCCTATACATTAAGACAAATAAAGTAAAAGCATCAGTGTTCAACATGTACTGTATTTAAGCCTGGGCATTTATTACTTAAACTTTAACAAGGGATAAATTTGAGTAAAAACAAAATAAAAACTGCCAAAACATAAAATCAAATTTGTGACCTGGTGATAAGAAGACTGTACTTTAAAATTTAGGCTATGACCACCCAGAGTGAGAATTCCAAAAGCTATGAATTTTATTAATATTATATTTATATCACAAGTAATAATTGGCAATACCTTTTTGGTTGGCAAGTTTTTTATGGAAGTCAATGGAGGTACAAATTAAGAAAATGCCTCATTTACCTGCTATATAGCTCTATCAATAGCTAATAAGCGCTTGTTATATGTACGATCAGCTACCTTTAAGCTTCTCCTGTAAAAGATTTGGTTAAATTTGCTCCAGAATTCCTAATACAGGTTTGTTTATATGCTGGCCCATTTGTTCTCCATTGAAAGTTGCCAACCAAAATTGCAGCCAGAATTTATTTCATCCTAAAACACTCCATATAACTGTAATAATCTTCCTACGCAAGCAATTCTGACTCTGGGTGGTCTATTTGGAATAATCTAAACAACAGGGCTACCTAAATTGGGTAAAATGTGTGCCATACTATAGTCATAATAATCATTTTAGAGATGTACATTTATTTGAGCTGCATGGGCTTGTAATCAGGTAAATGCAGTAATATACTTCAGCTCATAATTTATTGGAGCAAGCAAAGATTGCATCTACTCTACAATACATAACAGGCCGAATGCTCAATACTGGCTCACTTTCGGTGGTAGGCAATGTTTGGGATGTGGCTAATGAAACTTCATTTCTTGACATAGCAAGATCTAAGTAAAATAAAAGCAAGTAATAAAACAGAGATTATCTAAAGCAAAGTATCTAATAATAATAATCATCATCATCTCACTTTGTCTTTCTCCATTAATACCATCAGCTACAGCATTCTCTCCTATTCCTCTAAGAGCAGCTATCAGTGTATCTATTGTTGGAGTCTCCACACCATCAGCTTTACGCAACCAGCTAGCCAAACACTCTGTAAAACAACGATCAACCTGTCCTCTGTGTTCTTGTTCAATGCTCCTTAGTGTGTTATCAGATAATAGAAGATGTAGGCCTAGTTGATGATATGATGGTTTGCTGCAGTGATGCCTCTCAAGTAATGCAATCACTTCATTAAGATCTCTAATGTCTATAGGAGCAATTATATTACAATAAAATGATTACCCCATCATAATTTTACACTCTAGTCTCACTTAAAACCCTTGCGCTAAGAATACTTTCCAAAACTGATTCAGCCATTTTATAGCTACTTAGAATGTAGGTGGGGTTAGTTTATTAGGACCGCCCTTTAAATGGCGTGGGCGTAAATGAAATTAATGATTGCAAAATTTCGAATTGCAAAAAACCACTATGTCAGCCTATTCACCAAATGCATAGTATTATCACTTTTGTATGGACATTTGTCCACACTAGACAGTTCTTACAAAGAAGAAGGGAGTCTAATAAAAGCTCTTATCCATTCAACAATG